ACCGCCGGCTCCCTCCGCGGTTTGGTTTTACAGTTTTAGTGCCGAGGCTCTTCCATACCGTGCCCGTTTGTTATCTTTGCATTCTGGTATGTCCTCGCCTTGTCTGAGTTGTAGCCCTTCTAAAGTATGCCTGGAACATCCTGGCACCCACTGATATTTGTCCCAGGAAAAGTAGAAGTTGCGATTTGAAGCCAGATGAGCAACATCTCTGTATTATCCAGAGTTTAGAGGCAGCAAACACGCCACCAGAAGAAGGCCTTTTTTTGAAGCACTGCAGCTCCAAGCCCGTTGTCGGGCTTTGTCTTTTGTTTAGTCTTCCTTTGAGGTCGATTTCAGGGGTTTCCGTGCATTGGGGTTTGGGGCGTCGGTGTGTTGGGCTTGTGGTTTTCTAGCTTTTGGGACTCTGGGCCTTGGGCTCTGGGAGCTCCACATAACATATCTTTCGAAACTTGTAGACCCTGAACACTGCACGTTTTGCGTTCCGGTTCAAGCCAGGAGAGGTAGTTCCCCGGGCCGTAACCCTCGAATGCCGCAAGATGCGTAACCCGAAGACCTCAGACTCAGGCTCTCAAGCACAGAACCAAAATTCCAGCAGCGTCGAGGTCATACGGCCTGTGGCTTCAATGGTTTAGGTGTGGCATTGTCACTTCCAAAAACCGACGTCGGTCATCAGCATCACCATCATCATCATCGTCGTCGTCCCCGTTGCCATCGGCATCCTCCTCCTCCTCCTCCTCCTCCTCATCATCATCATCATCATCATCATCTCGCCAGCATCATTAGCATCAGCATCTTCATCGTCGTCATCGTCAGCATCAGCATCGTCATCATCGTCAGCGGTCTCATCCGCAGCACGATCATCATCATCATCATCATCATCATCATCATCATCATCATCATCCAGTCTTGGGATATAGCCTGTACAGGAAGTCTCCCAACATCCTCAACCAATGTTGTTTCAGGCTGCAAGTTAAGGGGTTCTGGAGGCCAAACTCCAAAACGGTTTGGGGTCACGCGGATCCTTCGTAAACGCATCATCACCGAAGCCCCCATCTCTGGGATCCCAACACGATTTGGCAGGTCGCAGAATCCCGTCGCCCTGTTGCAGGCAGGGAGTGGTACTTAAGTTCTCACTAGGGTTGAGAGCTCCGGGTTGGTTGTGGTATCCCACTGGGCTACGTGCGCGTGCAACAGCCCAGACGATGATGACGGTGGTGATGGTGATGATGCCTGTCAGAGGTAGTGCTGTTCGTCGCGATGATACTAGCGATGGCGCAGGACGACTTCGCATTGACGGTGGTGGTACGGGGAAGAATACATTGGGTGATAACAGGAAGCCGAGAAACAGCTGCTACCACTGCTTCTGCCGCTGCTGCTTCTGCTGCTACTCCAGCCCTAAACGACAAAGCCCTCCCCGAACTCCCAAGGCCCAACAGCCCAAATACTAGTGAAAGGCACTGGCTACGCCAAAGTCGCACCATCGTGCTGAAAGCAAAGAATGCTGTGTCCTGAACCTTCTGCAGCGTGGCAAATGCACATCTTCGTCCTTGTCGGTTCTGGCCTTCCAAGACCGTTGTGCAGGTGGCATCATGGTACTCCGGCGGTGAACTGCAAGGAGGGCCGTGCCTTCATCTACGTCGACGGCAGGATCGTTGCTCGTCCCACATCGGATACTGCCGCGCATTCTGACAATGCCAAGAACCATAAGTCAAAAACAGCATCTGGTCGTTGACCTCGCCTTTCTCGATGGCAGGCTTGGAAAGAGCAGGTAGTCTACCTTGTCTGCAACGCTTTAGATAGCAGTAAGCTCAACCTCGCACTTGACAGTTCAGAAGCTTCATTCTTGACTTTGTCTCTGTCTTGAAGGTTCGCGGGGACGGTGGCGAGCACGCTGTTGTCATCGGCTGGGGTGCAGGCCTTACTCCGCCTAAGCCCATCGCTAACAGAGCACGCCATCAGTTATGCTTCGCTGCTGGCACTCCACATGCCCGTGTTGAATAGTGCGGTATTTGTACAAGTGCTTTTGTTTCACAGCAGCACAAAGTAGCAGAGTAGCATTAGCACAGCAGTCTGTGGCCGTACAAGTAGTGCGGCCTCAAACACACGGGAGCTCGATCGAGAATAACATTGTCGTGCAAGTGCAAAGAGCCAACAAAGACATGCCAGGCTTCCAATACAACAGTGCATGTAGGACTGTGGATCTGAAGATTGCGCTACGTCACAGCACGAAAACCACATCATGCAATGCATGCAAACTAAATAGCAGTTAACAGCCCTCCGTCAGACCGGAATCCCAGACTCCAAAACGCCTGGAGGCTCACATCCAAGTTCTGAGCAACCTTGACTGTTGCACGAACCGGCAGGTTTAGAGTTTACAACTATGCTACCTTACTTACGACTGTACGTAGTATAGGATTGGCCCAATCCAGGGGGACTGGTGCAGGGACTGGTGCAGAAGCAAAATCCCTGCACCAAGTCGGGCGAATTCGATTTCATTAATTGGCCACAGGGCATGCAAATTGCGGAGGTTGTCCTCCACGGGTATGTTCCGCAGCGGCACCCATCCCAATCAATTGAACATGCTAATTCCTCTGCCCCGGAATTCTGCAGAGAGCATTTGGACAATTTGGAAACTTGCCAAGCTGTTGATCAAGCGCTAAGTCCCCTAGCCCAAATCCGCAGCTCTAAAGCTGCAAACCTAAGCCTTGAATCCGATTCCTTCTCAAGCCACTCCATGAGCTCCTAAACCCAAACCCCTGCGCTCCTACATTCTAAAGGCATTATTCCTCACACCCGTACTTGAAGAGAGGTTGTAGTTGAAGGGAGGGAAAGTAATCGTCTGCCTCTTCAGCTATCGAGCTCACCTCAAGTCATGGTTTGTTCATATCAAAGACGGTCCCAAATTGGCTAGGGAATGGCCAGTATGGGTACATGCACATATGTCTCATGGTTCAGACAGTTCTCAACATCTGGTGGTAATTCTGTTTGGCGGTCGTTCTTATCAAAGACGGGCATCAACGTGGCGTGTATAGGGGCTAGGCAAGCACTGACCAAGTCTGAGCTCCTTCAAGAAGGGCTGTCGAGACCCTAAACCCGAAACATGGGGTGAACTCTTGGCCCTGTACCTACTCCTTATGCGTGTAAGTTCGGCATTGTATAACTCTAGCGGTGCTGCCATTTCCGGTTGCCACTGGGTGCCGCTGCTGTGCCACGCCTGCATCACGGGAGATCATTCTTAGAATGACTCTGGTCAGAATGTTGGACACACCCGCACCGCGGCATCATCCCTTCTTCGCATGTGTTAGCGAATCCTCGCGGTGAGTATCAGTCATCCCCTGGTGCTCCATGGGTTTCACATGTCACACATCTTCAGCCCAGGCTTCGATATTGCCTAAGAGTACGAGCAGGAAAGGCGAGCTGTCGAACACATAGAACTCGAAACCAGAGACACCGTCAACAACACTGGACCCCACTACGGCCTTGTCTCTGCGCTGGCCGTGCTGGTGGTGGGTTTAGAGCGAATAGAGAACCTGCTGATAAGCCAGGTGAATAGGGCCTGAAGTCGTGCCTAACGTAGAGGGCTGCAGATGCTTGAAGCACCCTAAGCCCCGACCCTCAAGCTTCTGAAACGCTTACACTGGCCCATGTACTGGATCGGCCAGTCATGCCGCATCACCCTTGGACAAAGTCTTTGTTCCCCAAATCAGGAACCCTAAACCCAGTAGCACCGTTTCAGTCCAGGGCTTCGGACACACTCTGACTTCAGATTGTTGATGCCGTGCTGCTGCTCCCTCGGTGCCCTGCAGCACCGCGGCTGTCACATGTGCAAGGCACATAAAGCAAATCCCATCTGCAACCGATCAGAAAGGAATGGGCACAGGTGTTCAGAAGAGTCTGGTCCGATCTAGCATCCTTGCAAGTATTGTAGGGGATGAAACTTACAAGACGGCTCTGGGGCAGTCTCCTACAATCTCATGAGGATTGCTAGAGAGTACTCAGGCTTCCATATTGAACCCTGTGGCTATGTTCCCCATCCGTCTGCGCTTGACACATCCTCAGACTCTTCGGCTTAGGGCTCTCTTCTGGGAGTGACTTTGATGAGGGCCATGGCCTCCAGTCTTGCGGCATATTGTCGGTGCATCCCAATTTGTCGCAAAGTATGACGCTAGCACGTCGGCCACCTATAATCCCCCGCTCATCCCTTTACCCGAGACCTACCAGCATCCCCTGAGACTTCTGATTCCGGCGCATATGACTGAAGCACGTCACTCGCGGAGAAGCCCCGACGGAATCTATGCCGCCTTCCTGGACCCCTCGGGTCAAAAAAATTGCGCAAACAAGATGACGCAGCATACTTGTCTTGACCACTTCTCCCTGTTGATTCGTAGTGCCATGCGTTACTGTCACAGTCAGGGCATTTCCAAGCTGCAGGACTTAAAGATTATGTGCAATGTAAGCATCAGTATACTGAGAGTATGAGCTCAAGGAAGCACCAAGAGGAGATAATTGCAGGACCTGAGCGCCTCGTAGTCACCTTCATGGCTCCTCTTGCGCTGCAGTATGAAGCTCTGGAACACTGCTGTATTGATCCCTTCGACAACAGCCACCCTCACCAACATCCTGAGGTTCCTTGAAACTCAACTTCATCACTAAGTTGCGCCTCCCTCAAGTACTCACAGTTGTGATGGCACGTGATGGCCCACCTTTCGCTGCGCTGAAGTAACTTGTCGTTCTTTCTCTCGTTGCTGTCAACCATCTCAATCCACTAGCAGCCAGTTTGCTTGGGCATGATGACAGTTTCCACACCTTCACAGGAGTTGCACGCCCTCATCCCGATGGGTTTGGGTCCCTGACTGGGATAGTATGTAGACCTCATCTCGAGTAGTGACATGATTTTCTGGAAAGGCTTCTCTACAACTTTATCACTTGACAACTTGTACCATCCAGCCATTTTCATATCAGAAGTAGAAGTCAAACGTTTACTATTCCGGGATTAAGCCATGGCCTGCTTCGGGTTCTTCGAGTTCTTGAAGCTAGAGGAGTTTAAAGCGCGGGGCTCAGCCGAAGCACAGACGGAGCGAAAGTATCGGCTTCGTGTGTGGCGCACACTCTAAAATCCGACTCTAAGTTCGAAGTTGTTGTTTGAGCTAGGACCGGCCGGGCCATGCGAGCTGTACACCACAAAAGTTTGTGTCATCAAACCTCACTTCGATGGTCCATGCTTCAATCCATGCAGGCTGGCTTCACCCATGCGCTGCACGCCTGTTGCTACTGGGGGGGTATAGGGTCTGTGGTGCGCGACTTGGATTACCGCAAGCGGCTGAGGGTTGTTCAGCAACCGAGGTCTCAATCCAATTTCAAGCTTATTGAGTGCTGTTCAGGGCAGACTCGCTCTCCTTAGCTTGAAACATCAATCTGCGACTGCGCCCCACTTCCGTTTCATTAGACAAACGATGAGCGATGAGGACTACGAGGTTTTCAGGGCGCCTACTGATACCCAAGACCCGAACCCTTAACAGTGTCTGCCAGGAGTGGGCCAAGCTGACGGCTGCCAAGGCAGTCGGGAAGCCCAGAGAAGGGATCGCTATACTTACCTTTTTGTAGGTTTCAGGTTTTGTCATGGTTTTGGGTGAGTATGTTTAGAACTTTTAGGGAATAGTAGTGATACTCTATATGTGTTGCGTCCATTATTTGGGGCTTGGAACAACACCCTAACCTTATGCAGGCTTCCGCAGAAGTAACCCCCTTCTGGTCCTTGCGTAGTTGAACTGTTTTTGTTCGCCACATCCGAGTTCATTGCTGCGACCCGCAGGCGAAGCAAGAGCGGACAAAAGAGCGCGTGAAGCTGCAGGCATGGCCTTCCCAGAGGTTACTACAAATTATTATTGTTGTTATTCGTATTGTTTTTATGTTTATTATTATTAGTAGGAATAGTCGTCGTCGTGGAATATTATTGGTATCATAGAACTTCTAGTAGAGTGAGCATTATAAGTATTATTGTTGGAGTTAGTATTTTCTTTTTCTTTTTGACCCAAACAGTGTGCAACACTCTGTAGTGTTCTCACGTCAGAGTCAAGAGAATCGCTTAGTGGGCACGTGCTGGGCGCGGATCCCTAGCAGTTACACAGGATCCGCTGGAAGCGATCTTGACAGCCAGATGCATTGTCAACCAACTTGAATCGCGAGAAGCATTGTGGTAGCGAGAAGCATTGTGGTAGCGCTCTGGAAGCCTGGCAGCCATGCTCCTGAATGTCGCCAGATGTCCTAGGACGTCGAGAAGCACACGTCTCCCCCTGAACCCTCCTCCATTCTAGCAGGACCTGTCCGAGTTCGGCATCGACACCGCGGCTCTAGCGAAGCTGGGCATCGATGAGAAGGCAGGCCGCAGAGAGACGTTTCAAAGGCACCTTCGGGGTTTTGGGCGTTTCAAGGTGTTTCGTGATTTAGGGTTGTTGGGTGTTAAGAGTTGTAAGGCTTTGGTTTCAGAGTTTTGTTGGTTTGCGGTTTGAGGATTTAGGCGTTTAGAGGTCTTTGGGAGTTTAGGGTTGTGAGAAGTTTGGGGTTTGAGGGTTCAGGCTCTTGGAGCTTGGGCTTCAGGGTGCCGGGCCTATCCCAAGAGGCCCGCTCTAGCTTGAAAACACCACAAATTTGTGGTCAGGTCTGATTGGGCCTAGTGGCGGCTTCTCGGCTCTGCGAACAAGGAATCCCAGAATATAGAGGGACCCATAATCAAAGTGATTTTAGGTGTGTAACCCTTGACTGCAGGGTATTGGGATGGTTCTACATTGCACACACAGACACACACACGTCCACGGAGTTCGTCCAAGCTGCAAGCCGTTTGTTGCAGAGTGAAGATCAGATATCGAAGACTCCACCAAGCCTCCGCTTCTCATTGGGCTCTGTGGCGACTGTGTGGCATCAAACCTTACACCCCCAAAGCCCCAAACCCTGAAGCCCCAAACCCTGAAGCCCTTAAGAACCCAACGACCTTTCGCAGGCGCAAGAACGTGTCTGCCGGGCGATGGTCGTGCACTCCCATGGCCTCCGCACTGTTTTCCAAGAGGCTCGGCACGGCCCGGTACGGTGTTTCAACACCCGACGTAGCGACACAAGAAGAAGCCGTCGATAAACGTGTTCCAAAAGTTTTGCTGAAATGTGTCCCAAGACCCTATTTAGTTATCAAGAAGCCTATATTCGGGGTGCGGCGGGGCCCAGAGCGGGATTCCTTTAGGTTCATCCTTTCGGTTCTGAGATGTTGATCTTTATTTAGGCTCGGAACCTGCGCCAAGTGCAGATGCCGTTTAGAAAGCCAAAAAATCAAACTTTGAGCCCTAAGCCCCAACCGTGACTCAGTTTTCTGATACTGATGTTCGCTTATTCCTTTCATGAGCCTTTGATCGAAAGCCTAAACCCATAACTGTCTGGTGCTTAGTAGGGAATGGGGGAATGGATCCTTATAGTAGTCCCTATATAATCCCCTATAGTGTCCCAATCTCCCATTCCCCCGTTCTTTAGCAAGAGCCAGACAGATAAACCCGAAAAGAATTGTGGCCGACTCCATGAGCATGACTCGCATGACCATGCGTAGCCTCGGTGGCGGGGGCATTTTTGGGCTGTAGGGTGTTGGATGGTTTTAGGCTTTCAGGTTTAAGGTTACCGGTTTAGGGATCCCAAGTTGAGAAGACAACTCAAGTCTAGAGCCCCCATGTTTCTAAATCCGTAACCTCACTCTCAATGCCGAGTTGTCCAACAGCCCTCGTTAGTCATCTGCTGACGGAAGAACAGAAAGCACATGTGACCTCAAATCACCATGACAACAGTGATGTTAATGATGGCCATACAGATAGTATGTTTTCGCCATCCCGATGCACTACTGGCACAATGATAACACCACCAATGACAATGCAACCAGCACCAACAGCACTGTTCGTCACATAAAGGAGCAGCGGCAGCGACAGTAAGCCTCCCTAGCAAAGCGGATAAAAGGCCTCCAGCCGTGCGAGCAACTCCAAAGCAGCGTTGCCTCTGGGCCGGATTTGGTGCTGACACTGAGGGTTGCAATAACAACACGAGAATTTGGCAGAACGAAGGGTGGCAAAGGATGTCGATTCCGAAAAAATTCACACCTAAGCCCCAATTCCCATCTGGTTTCCGGAGGGACATGAATTACAGCCTAAAGCCTGAACCTAGACCCTAAGTTTGACAGAAAACGGTGTTCAAAAAACCTCAAGCTTAAGACCCCTAAACGTCGCAGCTTTGAAGCTTCCATGCCAAAACCCACCAAAAGTTCTGGGCTCAGGCGGCTCAGAGTCAGGGAGGACGAAGAGCCAAACACCCGGGGTCCCAACACCCAGCAACAGCCCACAGAGAAGCGCAACAAGCAAAATGGCTTAGGGTTTAGGGGTTTAGGGCGGTTTAGGGGTTTATGACCAGATCAGCCCCCAGTGAAAGCTTGCAAAAGCCAAGGCAATTCCTGTGGCGGGCATTTCAAGCCGTCCTGGAGCAGGCAGTCTCGGGGAAGCCAAGAGTTTGACAGGAAAAATACTGAATAATCATAAGTGTAGTTCAGTTCTCACCGACAGATGCATGTGGTCTTCATGGAAATTGAACTGGAAGTGGATTGCATGACCGCAAGATGTCATCAAGACTTCCCCTGCTAGCCCCAAGATCATTGCCTAAACCTCCTCAACCTCAAAACCCATAAGCTGGAACCCTGAGCCTTAAGCCTCAAACCCACAAACTTTGGCTGTAAACCAGGGTGTTCGTTGATGCTGAGCGTTGAAGCCGCGGGCTGAGGCTGCGGCTGAAACTGGACAAGCTTCAAGCATCTTAGCCTTTGCACCCAAGGCCCCTACAAGCACTAGGCCCCTAACTTTGCCAAAGTGTAGCGTCTGACCCGTTAGCTACAGGAGTGATCACGGTAAGTGGAGCCCCAAACCTTCACTCGATGCCCAGCCTTGTTTGGGCGAACACCCAGCCCATCAGTCTCCCAAAAAGGAACCGAGAGCTCCTCATAAACTCTTATCCTAAACCCTTCGAACCCTTCGAAATCCGCTGCCCGCCCCTGTCCAAACTGTAATGCGGACAGGAGGAGGGTGGCCGTGGCGAAGTGCAGGAGGCCCGCTCCGGCGGCATGACCCACCACATTCAGGCCAGGCCGAATGGAATAAGCTGAGTTTGCAGAGCTGGAATCCGATGGAATCCCTGAAAGCTCACCTGAAGCGGCAGTCTTCAGGTGCGACCGGAGCATGACAGCCCCGATGGAGACGCAGAGGAGGTTGCGAGCACGATTCCATTTTCGAAGGGGCACTCTGTGTTCGCCGAGGAGGATGCCCATGAAGAAGCCCTCCCAACGGCTCTGGACGTGAACTCTGAGCACGAGGTCCGGCATACAATGTTGACGAGTCTCACGGCTGAGATGTACATTCCATGCTCCGTGGATCTTGAGCCGCTCGTTGCCCATCTGCGATGCGGTCCATGAATACCTCAGGTGTATGTGTAGACTCGAAGAGCTCCAGGCCCTAGGCCCGAGCCCTCGCAGCCCTCGCAGGCTCGGAGGATTGAGGAGGAGAGGAGACGGCGCTTGAAGGAGGACTGGGAACTGCTCGCTGTGGCCCGGGCCGCCACTCCTGGCCTGCCTCTTGCAGGAGAAGCGCGAGCAGGAGAGCGAGCGGAGAAAGAACTTGGGAGGAGTCTTCGCCTTGTCTGCGGACGACTTCGACAAGGCCGGTGCGCTCTGAGATCTCAGAAGCTTCGAGCTCCGTAGGAGGAGGACGAGCGAGCGAAGCGGGCACAGAAGCGGAAAGCGAGGGAGAGAGAACTAGAGAGCACTTTGGGAGGGTTTAGGGATGTGATACAGAACCAGGGAAGGGTGATTTGCAGGCATGAAGACGATGTTTGCAACAACATCAGGCTGCAGGCATGTCCGTTACAAGTGTCTTTTTGTAGTTGAACTCTATGACGACATGGTTCGTTCTTTCTTGCTCGTGGTTCCAATATGATTTCAGTACGTACCTTGGAGTCTCTTGCGGAAAGGAAGCGCGCCAAACCCGATCTTTAACACAAGAGTTCTATTGTGGGAGTCGGAATGGACATGAGTAACATCCCTTGAAGTTCTTGAATAGCCAAACTGGAAATACTCCAGCGATACTAACCCTCAACCTTAAACCCCAACCCAACGGTAGAAGATGCAGGTATACACCGACATGCCGGCCGTGCGACTGGATCTAGCAGAGGTCATCCGATCGCAGGGATGCTTGAAAAAGTATAGGGCTTCGGGTCTCTGGATCAAATATGTCCGACATAGGTAATTTCAGTTGCGAGATTGCTTGCGACACGTGCGCTTGATGGCTTATGAGTTCAAGGTTCCGCGAGCTTCTACACTGCCAGCCCCGTTTGGGTCTAGAGTCTAACATTTCACTCTGCTCGATCTGTGTTGAAGCATCTGCGTACAGGAGCATCGGATGGAGTAACTAGGGAAACTAACCAACATAGAAACGGGTTAAGGCTCCAACAGATACAGCTTCATGGCTTTGTCAGCCTTGCTTGCGAAATACCTTCATCCTTCAAGAAAGTAGACATGACATCAGGGGTTTGGGGATTAGGGTTTAGGGTTTCGGGCTTCGAGTTTAGGGCTTAGGGTTTAGGGTTTCGGGCTTAGGGTTTAGGGCTTATAAGGCTCAGGGTACAGCCCCAAAGTCAAGCTCCCACCATCCCTCCGTGATTCGCCTTGGCGAGGACCCCTCAATGCCTCCAGACCCTGAGATCTAATACAGGGGCCTTAATAATTGGAATACGGTTTCCTTTAAAGGAGTCCTTAAAGTCGTCTTTAAGGCCTCTATAACGGGTTTCTCCGTGGGGACCTTAATAAGTTGAATAGGTTTTTGGGTTCCTTACTATCAGTACTTACAGTATAATTTATCCCCAACACCCTGTTCTGACTATTGAGCCCCCCCGATATGTTGTTTCGATGCTTGGTTGAAGCAGAGCTACCGACGCAGCCTCCCGTGGCCAACCAGGTCGGCTGAATCAATATTGGAGGAGGGCGGGGGGGGGGGGTCTTCAAGCTGTTGTTTCCCAATAGTTCTAGTTATGTTATGTGTATATAAATGTAGAAATCGAAAGGAACATCATTACCCTCATACCTTTAAAGTAAAGTATAGGGCATTAATTTAGGGAATCCTCAAGCTAGTTTCCCTAAGTCCATGTTCCGACTTTCTGGGGTTCAGGAGTGCAGAGGTGTGCTGCTCAATGCAGACGAATTCTGACGATCAGGTCAACAATGAGTTGCACGCCGAAGTGCCGGCAGAAGAGACGCCAGAGGATGCGCTGGAGGCAAGAATTCGTAGAAGGGTTGAAACCTCGCAATACGCTGGCACTTCTCGAAGAGCATTAAGCCACCACCGTGCACCTAAATCCTCCCGTGTCGTGTGTGGGATTTAGGGCCGGGCTACATGCTTCGCTGGAGGATTGGGCGGCCCTCCCATAGCCCCTGTTCTGAAAGCAGGTCAAGCCCTTATAACAGAAACCTGTTTCTATCTGTAGTTGTAAATCTCATAGAAGAACCCTTATGGAAGAACCCTCATAGTAGAACCTTTATAGTAAAGCCCGCAGAGCTGCCTTTGTCGTAGAACCCTTAGGCTTGTTGACCAATGCCTGAAGCCGGCAAACCAAAGGTCGTAAACCCCGAGTATGGAAGCCGCTTATATTGAAATCCACAACCTGCGTTCAGGTAAGCCCTAAACCCTAAACCCTCCAACCCCGACACCCACACAGCTGCACCCCTGAGCAACCCCCCGCCACCACTCAACTCTAGTAAGTCCCGCCTTCCTCTCCTCACCGACGCCACCGCAAAGTCGACCTAGGGGGGGGGGGGGGGGGGGGGGGGGGGGTCGAAACAGTTTGAACTCACAACCAACTACTGTCTCCAAATAGTTCTACTGAGACCGTGTGGGAATGTGTATCTATACATACATATATGTATATATATATATATATATATATATACTTATACGAATACAGACACGGAAGCATGTACACAAACATAAATGTAAACATATGAACTGACATAAACAGATGCATATATTTGACATATGTATAAATATGTGTGTGTGTGTGTATATATATATACAGAGACATACATATACATGTACATTTACATATGCATACATATATATATATATATATATATACATATGTGTGTTTGCGTATGTATGTGTATCTGTAGGTATGTGCGCATGCATGCATGCCTGCATGCATGCATGTATGTATGTAAGCATGTATGTGCGTAATTATGTATGTGCATGTGCATGTGCATCGATAGTCCGACAGGCGTGTCAACACTGGATGTACGGCTAGTGGCTGTTGATGCTTGCTGAAGCCTCGAAGCACAGTCCTCGACCCTAAAGCCGGAATAGCGCTCAACAGCTCAATCTCAAAGTGCGCCAATGAGTCAGCAAGCAGGTGGAAGCTGTGTTTCCGTCGGGGCCACCGCTGCAGGCTGCATGGCCTGCCGGGGGTTTGAGATGAAAGACCGGGCATCGCGTTCAAAGTGTAGGAGTTCGTTTCAGTCGGACTTTGCCAGGTTCGCAGTTTGTCATTTGAGGCTGCATGCTGCGACGGGTCCTCCTCCTGCTCGGCCTTCTCCTCGTCCCATTAAGTGTACTTATTTCCTCCTGCAGCGATTACTGCTGCTGCTACTGCTACTACTATTGCTGCTGCTATTGCTGCTATTGCTGCTGCTACTACTACTCTTGCTTCCGCTGCTGCTGCTACTACTCCTACCACCACCACCACCACCACCACCACCGCGGCTAGACTACGCCTGCTATTGCGATCGCGAGGACGACGAATACCACTACTACTACTACTACTACTACTACTACTACTACTACTACTACTACTACTACTACTACTACTACTACTACTACTACTACTAGCACCACAACTCCTACTACAACTTTTTTCGTTGCTCTTAACGCTAATATTGCGAGTGCTACTATTGCTGTCGTTATCATTGCTAACCGCATTGCTTTCACTATCACTGATGCTTTTGCTATATACTACTACTACTACTACTACTACTGCTACTACTACTACTACGACTACTACTACTACTACTACTACTACTACTACTACTACTACTACTACTACTACTACTACTACTACTGCTAGGGTTGCGCACCTCCTGGCGCCTGGTAGTCTTCAAAGTGCTCCGCTTTTGAGAGTTTTGAGAAATTTCAGTTAAGCCAACTCCAAAGAAACTACTTACTTGGGTGTATGATGATGATGACGATAAAGTTCATGATTATGAGGATAATGACGAAGATGGTCAGGTTAACGATGATGTTGAAGATGGCGAGGATGATGGTTATGAAGAAGAAGAAGACGATGATGATGATGGTCAGGTTAACGACGATGCTGAAGATGGTGAGGATGATGATTGGGTGGGGCGCGCATCGGATTTTTCAAGGTTTTGTGTTTGCCAGAGGCGCTGCTGCTACTGCTACTGCTACCGGCGCCGGCGCTACTGCGCTACTGCTTGCGGTCAACCATGTCGTTATTAGCCCCCCCCCACCCCCCCGCCCAACCCCTCCCCCCCCCCACCCGTGCCGTACCAAAACGCCCAAAGAAGCAGAAATAACAGAGGTTAACACCAGGCGCCTGGGGGCGCATAGCTACCACCGCTACTACTACTACGACGACGACTACTACTACTGCACTATCCCTCACCCGACCCATGCTCAGAAACGAATCTTGAAAGGACCCAATCTCGACCACGTCACGGAGACCTGGGACTAAGAATTGAACCCCAAAACAGACACTTAGACCGTGAAAGCAGTCACATAGACCTTGAACCCTCCAGACTGCCCCTAAACCCCCAAAATCTCTGAGCCAAACAGATTGAACTATCAACAGCCCATACAGATCCACTTTGATGATCGCGGAGACTGGGCAATCGAGGACACCGCAGAGCCTGGAGGGGTTTCATGATTAAGGTTTATACAGTATGTTTTGGGGGTTATGGTTCCTCTAAGTCTTGTGCAAGGGATCCATCTGGTTGTTAAGGTAGGGCTTTAGGGTTTGGAGCTTTCGGGTTTCTGTGTTTAGGTTTCATGTTGAGCGTCTTGAATGCAGCATGGAGGGCTTGAAGTGTGGATTGTTCCATCATGGTGTTCTTTGGGGAGGATGTCTGTAGACATGTCCAATTGACCTTGATGGCCCGTGCTTGGAAGATGGGGGAGATTCAAATGAGAAGGGCATTTTAAACTCGGGACCGTTCGCGTGTAGAAGCATGTGCAGCATGTGCTGTTGGCTTTCCCGGGGGCTTCAGGGCGTTGAGACTGGGAGCTTCGATGGTTACGCAGTCCGCAAGACCTTCGACCACTAGGGTTTAGGCTCAGGGGCCATATGCTTGAACCCATGTTCACATCAAAGGATTTCGGGCTTCTTGATATCTTATGATTTCTGTACGTTATCAGCCCCCGTGAACATCTCAAGCCAGCCCTCATCAGCGGCCGTGCACTTCATTATGGTTTAGGGCTATAGTGCTGCGACATGCTGTAACTGAAGAACCCTTACTCGATTGGATGCCGCAGCCTAACCCTGGTTCAAGGCCCCTGTATTATAAGAACCCTGCTATAGATCCCTTTAGGCTGCAGACTCAGCAGGAGGAGTATGAGTTCGATGTTGGGGCCAGAAGCTTCTGCGTTGTGTGCCTTGGGCATTAGGTTTTCTGGTCACCCGGTCTAGGAGTCTGGGGTATTTTAGGGCCTTCCAAGTCCAGAGGCTTAGTGTTTGAGGTTTAGGACTTAGGGGATAGGGCCTGGGTCCAAGGCTCAGGCTTCCAAAGAACAAACGCCCTGAGCAGTCGATGCAGTCCAAAATCGCCCCCGATGTTTGTTTAACAGAGCTGTGATATGCTGTGATCAGGCTTGCACCGGTCAAGCATGTGTCTCATATACTTAACATGTATATCTATATACATGTGCACACATGAACCGTCTGTATGCTGCAAGCACATCTTCGTAGGCAATGTTCTCCCAGCACTAAACGTTAGTTGTATCATGTACGTCATGCCGCAGCATCAGTCGCCAGCACACCCTTCTATCTCCAAGCAGTGCTTGTTTTGCAATGATCTCTTAAGAGCTTGAGGCCGGGCCACGCGGTGGCCCAAACCAAGGCTTCGGTCGGGCAACAACCAAGCTCAGGGTTTAAAAAACATCGATTTTACTGCTCCGTCCCGTCAGATTTCGGACTCAAGATCTCGGTCGCGTAATTGAGGTCCATGCACAAAGGCGGAAAAGGACAAAAACAGCGTAAGCTCTGAGGCGCTCCTCCCAGGCCGAGCAGAAGCAGCAGAAGGTGCAGGAATGTCAAAGCCTGCCTTCTGCCAAGCGCCAGGTGTTTCCATGGCCTTGCCCCTACTAACCCTGGGGTGCCCGCAATTTCAAATTGGGTCCCTTGGGTTTCGCGCCAGGCCGGTACGGAAGCAAGGGGCTGGGGTGAAGGTTTCAACAGCTAGAGTCGGGCCTTCTAGGTTTTATGAAGAGGGTTTAATGGGCTTTTATGCTGGTTAGATCGGTTCTTCACGTGTTCCACGAAGTGCCTTTGTCAGGGTCTATGGGGCTTTCAACAAAAGGCTTCCGTAGTCGTAAGAGCAATTCAGTTTGGAATCTAAGTTTAGGTCGAGCATTTTAGGGTTTGGGTTTGGGCTTCGGGCGCATAAGGTCAGCACACCACAATGCTTGAAGCGCAGTTTGGGGGGCCGAAGTAAGTACCAATACTGTTTGGGGGGTTCCTTGTTAAAATTACAGTTTAATCGGCCCCAAAACCCTATTCTAATTTTAAAGGCCCCGATACCAAACCCTTATAGTAGTCCTTATAGACCACTTTAAAAGGAACCCTTTAAGGGAACCCCTATTCCATTATTAAGGCCCCTGTATTACTCCAGTTCGGCGTCTCTCAGGAAAGCCTTCTTGGTGTAGGGTTCAAGGTTTAGGCTGTTAGGGTTCAGGGTTTAGGCTTTTCAGGATATAGGGTTTAACAGTTTAGGGTTTAGGGTTTAAAAGTTTAGGCTTTTGAGGGTTTAGGGTTCAGGGCTTAAGTTTGGGCGTTTTTGTTGACACACCCCCAGACTCCAAACCGATCAGTGAGGCATCCTAAGCTTGGTTTCGAGAGCCTTTACAGTCGGCACCTTTGCTTCATAGCCTGCGTGATCCGAATTGTGCGCGGCGTGGGTTGGTGAGCAACCCTGCGCCAAATTCACATGTGCCTGGCATGCAGGCCTTCGCAGACCCCGCATGGCCCCACACCTTATCATCATCAACTGCATTTCTCCATCAGCTGAGATCAGGCTTTAGCGTTGAGAGGTTCAGGGCTTAGGATTCCTTTAATTAAGGGTTCCTTTAAGGGAAAGGGTTTGTTGGTTTAGGGCTGTAAGGGTTTAGTGCTTAGGGATCCCCAGACATAGACCCACCGCCTGTGACTGTTGAGAACCTTCCGAGGGTTAAGGCTTTACTCAAAGGGGAAACGGAGGGACCCTTAATGGCCTATAACGGTTGTTTTTCATGGGTATATAATAGCTATATTAAGGGTATATACCTAGGGGTCCTTATGAAGGGTCCCTCCTTTTCCCCTTGGATTTAAGTTCCAGGGCGCGTGGTGCGGGGCTTTTGGGTTCAGGTTGTTTCCATCAGCGAAACCCAGGAGCGCAAGTCCTCGACCCAGATATTTACTCTGATTCCATGGGGCCTGAACCCACAACTACCGCAACCCAATTACAAGCTTGAGCTCTTGGACTGGATTATGCAGGGGTTTGTGTGATTCTATACTCCGAATACAATTGTCAGCATAAAAGTACAGGTACGACCGAACCCCCAGTCCCAAACCCTAAACCCTAACTTCTGATGCTTAAGAGTCTTAGACTCTTACGCGGATGAAAAAGGTGTTCCAAAAAAACAGACTGGGGTGCCCGTGCGGACAGCGATTTCAAATTGGGTCCCTTGGGTGTCGCGCCAGGCCGGTACGGAAGCAAGGGGCTGGGGTGAAGGTTTCAACAGCTAGAGTCGGGCCTTCTAGGTTTTATGAAGAGGGTTTAATGGGCTTTTATGCTGGTTAGATCGGTTCTTCACGTGTTCCACGAAGTGCCTTAGTCAGGGTTCTATGGGGCTTTCAACAAAAGGCTTCCGTTGTTGTAAGAGCATAACAGTTTGGAATCTAAGTTTAGGTCGAGCATTTTCGGGTTTGGGCTTCGGGCGCATAAGGTCAGCACCCCACAGCGCTTGAAGCGTAGTTTGGGCGGCCGAAGTAAGTGCCAATACTGTTTGGGGGCTCCTTATTACAATTGCAGTGTAATATACCCCAATAACCCTATTCTAATTTTGAAGGCCCCTATACTAAACTTTATAGTAGTTCTTATAGACCACTTTAAAAGGAACCCTTTAAGGGAACCCCTATTCCATTATTAAGGCCCCTGTATTACTCCAGTTCGGCGTCTCTCAGGAAAGCCTTCTTGGTGTAGGGTTCAAGGTTTAGGCTGTTAGGGTTCAGGGTTTAGGCTTTTCAGGATATAGGGTTTAACAGTTTAGGGTTTAAAAGTTTAGGCTTTTGAGGGTTTAGGGTTCAGGGCTTAAGTTTGGGCGTTTTTGTTGACACACCCCCAGACTCCAAACCGATCAGTGAGGCATCCTAAGCTTGGTTTCGAGAGCCTTTACAGTCGGCACCTTTGCTTCATAGCCTGCGTGATCCGAATTGTGCGCGGCGTGGGTTGGTGAGCAACCCTGCGCCAAATTCACATGTGCCTGGCATGCAGGCCTTCGCAGACCCCGCATGGCCCCACACCTTATCATCATCAACTGCATTTCTCCATCAGCTGAGATCAGGCTTTAGCGTTGAGAGGTTCAGGGCTTAGGATTCCTTTAATTAAGGGTTCCTTTAAGGGAAAGGGTTTGTTGGTTTAGGGCTGTAAGGGTTTAGTGCTTAGGGATCCCCAGACATAGACCCACCGCCTGTGACTGTTGAGAACCTTCCGAGGGTTAAGGCTTTACTCAAAGGGGAAACGGAGGGACCCTTGATGGCCTATAACGGTTGTTTTTCATGGGTATATAATAGCTATATTAAGGGTATATACCTAGGGGTCCTTATGAAGGGTCCCTCCTTTTCCCCTTGGATTTAAATTCCAGGGCGCGTGGTGCGGGGCTTTTGGGTTCAGGTTGTTTCCATCAGCGAAACCCAGGAGCGCAAGTCCTCGACCCAGATATTTACTCTGATTCCATGGGGCCTGAACCCACAACTACCGCAACCCAATTACAAGCTTGAGCTCTTGGACTGGATTATGCAGGGGTTTGTGTGATTCTATACTCCGAATACACTCAGACAGATATTGTCAGCATAAAAGTACAGGTACGACCGAACCCCCAGTCCCAAACCCTAAACCCTAACTTCTGATGCTTAAGAGTCTTAGACTCTTAGGCGGATGAAAAAGGTGTTCCAAAAAAACAGACTGGGGTGCCCGTGCGGACAGCGATTTCAAATTGGGTCCCTTGGGTGTCGCGCCAGGCCGGTACGGAAGCAAGGGGCTGGGGTGAAGGTTTCAACAGCTAGAGTCGGGCCTTCTAGGTTTTATGAAGAGGGTTTAATGGGCTTTTATGCTGGTTAGATCGGTTCTTCACGTGTTCCACGAAGTGCCTTAGTCCAGGTTCTATGGGGCTTTCAACAAAAGGCTTCCGTTGTCGTAAGAGCATAACAGTTCGGAATCTAAGTTTAGGTCGAGCATTTTCGGGTTTGGGCTTCGGGCGCATAAGGTCAGCACCCCACAGCGCTTGAAGCGTAGTTTGGGCGGCCGAAGTAAGTGCCAATACTGTTTGGGGGGTTCCTTATTACAATTGCAGTGTAATATACCCCAATAACCCTATTCTAATTTTGAAGGCCCCTATACTAAACCCTTATAGTAGTTCTTATAGACCACTTTAAAAGGAACCCTTTAAGGGAACCCCTATTCCATTATTAAGGCCCCTGTATTACTCCAGTTCGGCGTCTCTCAGGAAAGCCTTCTTGGTGTAGGGTTCAAGGTTTAGGCTGTTAGGGTTCAGGGTTTAGGCTTTTCAGGATATAGGGTTTAACAGTTCAGGGTTTAGGGTTTAAAAGTTTAGGCTTTTGAGGGTTTAGGGTTCAGGGCTTGAGTTTGGGCGTTTTTGTTGACACACCCCAAGACTCCAAACCGATCAGTGAGGCATCCTAAGCTTGGTTTCGAGAGCCTTTACAGTCGGCACCTTTGCTTCATAGCCTGCGTGATCCGAATTGTGCGCGGCGTGGGTTGGTGAGCAACCCTGCGCCAAATTCGTGTGCCTTGCATGCAGGCCTTTGCAGACCCCACACGGCCCCACACCTTATCAAATGCACGTCTCCATCAGCTGAGATCAGCGCTTTAGGGTTGAGAAGTTCAGGTTCAGGGGTTTCGATTCTTTTAAGGGTTCCTTTCAGGGAGAGGATTTATTGGTTTAGGGCTACAGGGGTCAGGGGCTTGGGGGCGCAGAGACGGCATCGAGAGGTGAGCGAAAACTCCTGACCTGAGCCTCTTCATGTTGAAGCTCTTGGCTATATCCACAAAGACTCTGATTTGTTCGTTTGTCGGTTTTTTCTTATCTACCTGGTAGCTTAGCTGACTTTCAACTTAATCAGAATCCCCTCCTGTTGCCAAGGGAGGCTTTGCTAGACACTCTACCAGCATGAAAACAGCTGAAAAGTCTTCCGGACGACTGCTCCGAAATGGTGCAGTGTCCACGCAGCGCAGGCTGTCTGTTTGGCGCCTCCGGTGAAGATGTTTGGCATTGCGGAGCCCAGTAGAATAGCAAAGCTATTCGATATGCTCTGCACACACACAGAGTTTTCCACAGCTACACATCCATGCTAGAAGCTCTCCGCTCAGCGAAATAATTACTACGGCCCCTTGCTTGTCAAACCCACCCAGAACCTGTATAGTGCCCGTAAACCCTCGATCCTAAACTCTTAACCCGAAACCCTAATGCCTCAAACACACTTAACCCGAAGCCCTGATGCCTAAACCCTTTAACCCGAAATGCTTTCATCATTCATCTAGGAACCCTTATAACACACTTAAAGGAACCCTTGCGGACCCCTTAAAGGTACCCTCAGAGATCCCTTTATGCTTTCATATTTGGCTGAGAGCTCCATGGTTCATTTTGGCAGCGCCGGCCTTGAGGCGATTGGCCGTTGCGACTTGCCGCCATCGGTTCAGAAACAGGGCGATCTGGTTTAGCGCTTTAGGGTGTAAGGTTGCGGGTTTAGGGGTTTAAAGTTTAGGGTTTGGGTTTGGGGTCTACCCTGCAGGTCTTGTGGCTCTTCGGTGGTTTAAAGGAACCCTGTAACAAGATAGGTCTACCGGTTTAGGGTTTAGGGTTCAGGGTCTA